CAGCCGGTTTGAGCAGCTCGTGAAAATTTACCTTAACGGAACGAGAACCCATGGGGCATATTTTTCGGAAACGGAAATTTTTCGTCAATAACTGTCGATAACCAGTGATCATTAGCGATTAAGAATAATATTGAAAAAATTCAACTAAAAGGAACAAGTGAAAAGGTGGAAAATGTCATCTGTATTATAATTACATGTATGTTAAATTATTTTATATTAATTATAATGATGGTTTTACATACATCTCTAACCTTGTGTGTTTCATTTTATATATATTAAATATTTTTTATTTGATTCTTGTTCCGTTTTTTTTACTTCGCAACTTGTCGATGATCACTTTAGACATAAATTACGAGGAGTAAGTTCTAAGGTGCTTTTTATAACGTTTTTTTACTGTCATTAATCAATAGTTCTGTTTTATATAGTTTTTGTTAGATACTAAATTGTTTCTTCGCATCAACCATGTTTTAAATGTGTTTTAAACTACTTAAAACATGCTTGATCAATGTTTTTAACATTTTTTAAATTTGTTTCTTATTAATACTCTTATATAAAACATTAAAGACATATATGAAAAAAAAAACGTAATGTTTTGTTCTTTACAAAAAATATTATCTTTTATTAACCTTGTTATGTACTACCTTTTTTTTGCTTTGACAGTAACGCAGATACAATATATACGACAACTACAGTTACTTATTTATTTTATAGAATCAAACGATGTAGGTAAGTACAGTATATAAAGTTCTTTTGTTCTTTTTTTACTTGATCTTATTATGCTTCTTTCTTAATTTTCTCTTCATAAAAGTGTGTATTACTCTAAGAAGGGAATTATACTATGAAGTATGACATCGAAAATTAGAAAGTTGTTCTAATAGTGTATTGTTAGTTTTGAAATATTAACTCTTGAAATTCTTGAGATTCTAAAAATTCATTTTTTAAATCTAATTTTCAATTAGTTTGTCGATTGTTAAGATGACGATTGTGTAGATATTCTACCTGTATACGTTTTTGTGTGTAAAAGCACTGCTTTCTGCATGTGTGATGCAATACAACATTTCCAATATCGTGCATCTATTGCACGGTTTATGGACATTTCTCCTTCTACCATTTCATCGTTCGACACTTCATCATCGATACTTGTGCGTAAGACATTTTACCGTCTAATACGTTTCCACGCTACTTTTCTATCTAATATTTATCCTTCAAAACATTTTTTTTTTATTTGCATTCTTTTGCGTGCCATACGAACACTTCCGTCCGGAGTCCGTCCGCGATTCTTCTTCGTCCGCGTCACTATTTGCGACGTTATAGATATATTGTAACTTTTTCGATTTATTATAGTTTTTAAATATAACTTTCGATTTATTAATAGTTTTTGCTAACATTATTCTAGCATACAATACTAAACGATTAATATTTCATTTGAACACAACCTTCCTTTTTTTGTAAAAATAAAATGCCACTTGATTTTGAAAAGTACGAAGAATAATAATCTTTTTATTATTATAAGTCTATTATGTATAGTATTTGTAAAGAATTACAAAAAAAAGGGAAAGTTGTATTGGAAATGCGCGAAATGCAATATCGATTGGTACAAGATTTTTATTCTTTGTACTTTTACAAAATCAAATGGAATTTTATTTTTACAAAAGGAAAAAGATTTTAAATGAAATGTTAACCGTTTAGCACTGTACTACAAGAGTGTTAGCAGAAACTAAATCGGAGTTTATATCTATAACGTCGCAAATAGCGACGTGGACGAAGAAGTGTCGCGGACGAACAAGTGTCCGTACGGCACGTAAAAGAAGTAAACAAAAAAAAGTTTGAAGGATAAATACTAGACGGTAAAACGTCTTAAACTGGTTCTACATTAGTTGCATCGCAACGTCGCAAGCGTTACGGTCCAATCAACGTCAAGCTAGCTCGACTCTGATTGGACTGCAACGCTTGCGACACGCTTGCGACGCTGCGATGCGATCAATGTAGAACCAGCTTTACAAACAAGTGTTGACGATGAAATGTCGAACTATGAAATGATAGAAGATGAAGTATATAAAGTACATAAACCTACTGCACAAATTACCAGAATACAATATTAAGGTTTTTTGGAACAATTTTTAGAATACAACTAACGAAATTATGATTATATTATTACTGGTAAAACCACGCATGGCAATAAAGAATTTCATAATATTATTAGAATTATTATAGTTGTTATATATAATTAATAGTAAAAATACATAAGAATTGAAGGTACATAGAATTGAAAATTTAAGAATTAAATTTAAGAATTAAAAATATACATAAGAATTACATTAAATAACAAAAAAAATTATATATCAATATCTGTTAATGATGTTGAGGACATGAAAATTATTATTATTTAGGTGCAGATGCGACTGTTTCAAGGATTTGATTCTCTCTGGACAAAAGAGTAATTTTCTTGTTGTAATTTTCACGAAGACTTTGAAACAGAGATAACTGGGTTTCGTACTCTTTCTTGAGATCGGCGTTGAGTCGCATCGCTGCGTCCATTTTACTAATCATCGTGTTATGCCAATCGCGTTCCTGAGAGATATTCTTCTCCATGTTATCGACTTTAGCCTGCAGCATATATCATATGTTAATTTAAAAATACATTCTAAAGCAAATAATATATAGGTATTAATGATGATTTAACGTTAGAGTACGTTAAAGAACGTAGTAAGAAGCATTTTAGAATTGTTTTCTGAACAAAATAGAAGAAATCATTTCAGAATTCAATCTGTAGGAATCTAAAGTTCTAATTTTTGAAATTAATTCCAAAGTTGCCTCGCGACGAATTCTTTCTTATTTTTAAAAATTCAGAAGAGAGCTTGAGGGAAAAAATGAATGAAAAAAATGAGTGAAGAAATGATGCAAAACCTTTTCTTCAAGTAAAATCTTATTTTCCAAATAAACTTTGGAAATCAATTCCAAAATTTTTCTACAAATTTCTTATTCTTAAAAAGCTAGAAAAAAGTTTGAGAGGAAAGAAATGAGTAAAGAAATGATGAATGCGAAATTTTTTTCAACAAAATCTTGTTTGAGGTATCTTGTTCATATTGCAACTCATAAATACGAAGAGAGAATAAGATCATCGACTCACTTGCAACTGTTTCATCTCTATGTTGCGAATTTCCAATAGATCCCGCGTGATCGAAACTACCTCCTTTAACGAGGTCACTTGATTGTTCAGAGCGTTGATTTGGTTCTCCTGGTTCACGATTACGCGATTCCGTTCCTCGTACATCAGTGTCAGCTGTGCTAGTTGTTCGCGCAACAGTTGTAGGGTATCCTCATCATTGCCACGATTTATTATCGCACTGTAGGACGCTTGCAAGGCGGTCAACTTCGTCTTTGCATCTTCGAACTTCTTCTGGTAACTGTCGCGCTCTTTTGTTTTTTTCTGTCGGTCATAAGGATCTTAGATTCTACATCAACGTTAATATAAAGTATGTATGAGGAATGGCAAGACTTTACTCGCGAAATCAACTTTTAACTTATTACAGAAAATTATACAAGAAAACAAAACGATTCTGTTGAAATATATAAAAATTTAGTTATATCCCAGACAGCACAAAATATTTATGATAAATATTTATTAATGTTCATTTTTTAAAGTGTTATATCAATATTTTATACATATTTTATATAAAGCTTTATTTGAAATATTATTAAAATATAGACTAAATATTTTATGTAATATTTATGATGAATGTAAATAAATATTTCTAATAAGTATCTTTTACTCGAATTATAATGTCTCATTAAGTATTTTCATAGCATTTACTATAACATTTACAATAAATATTTCATAATATTTATAATAAATGTTTATGATCTGTGCAATCTAAGATTACAAAAATATTTATAAAATATTTAAAATAAATCTTATAAATATTTATAAACATTTTGTAAATATTCTATAAATATTGTGTGCTGTCTGGGATACAAATCTGAAAATAATTTTGCTGTATTATCAAGTAGAAGCTTAAGAATTCATTATAATTATTTTGGTTGCTAAAATGTTAAAACTCTTTAGCAGCGTTATCATCATTGAGTATTCTACATAGTTATTTTGATCCAACACATAATTATGTATTTTCAGATCTATATCTAATTAAATTTTCAGATACTTGAGCAAAGTTATTCTTTTCGTATAAAGGATATTTTAAAATCAATAACATACATATATGAAATAGATCCCGCGTGTAATAATTATAAATGGAAAATGTTATCATTGATATGCACATATGTTTCAACAGTAACCATGTGGAAAGAGATATATGACAAAGGGGCAAAACCTTTTTTAGAGAAAGAAAAATTGATTTTTTACTAAATACATAGAAATATAACTTTGTTATCGAGTCGAAGATTTGATTCTATCAGAACAATCCGCACTTCCATAGGATTTTCTCACCCGCACTTCTGCTTCCAATCTGGATATATAAGCCGCAATGTTATCTCTTGCATTCTGCTTTGATGTATCGGCCTAGACACAACATAGAAATTGATAAATATCTAATAATTGAGGGGATTGACGGAATAAAGACACAATTCTACTTAGGCCCTTTTTCCGGAGATTAGCGCAAATAAACAAGGAATTGATGTTGTTTACATTAGTTAAATATAAACGTGTTTTGATTCTCTTGTGATGATGAAAATGATATAATTTAAGGAAAAAGGGCAAAAATGATTTAAAATTACACAGGCCTACAAAAAAGATATTTTTTTTACCCAGAAACGGCAGTATGTAATCCCGAAGGTTTTTGGCATGCTAAAACCAAATCCATGTCCAAAATTGCTCCATTACGTCAGATTTCCGAGATATTCTAATCCAAAGGTGTAATTCAATATTTAGTGAATGTGTGCAAAGTTGGCGTATACACTGACCATATTGTCTGGAGATGCCCTAAGACCGGTGGACATACTTGTAACATATCTAATTTTTTTTTCATGTTACTGTGTTGACCCATTTATAATCATAGATGATTTTCGTAGATTTTTTCGTGCCGAATTCGAATTCGTAAAATTGGCTCTATCACATCAGGTTTACGAGATATATTTAATCTAAAAATGCCTTTTTGACATCTTTAGATTAGAATATCTCGGAAACTTGACGTGATGAAACAATTTTGAATACGGATTTGGTTTTAGCATGCCAAAAACCTTCAGGATTACATACTGCCGTTTCTGAGTCAAAATTCATGTCGGCCTGTGTTATTAATGAGATTTTTACCAGAGACTGAACGAAAATGGTACGACAATGTGTTTTCATTACAACATATTTATGTTAAAAAATCTTACGAAAACTCATCAGATGATGATTATTTCAATTTATTTTATACAAGTAAAAATAAAATGTATTTCTTCTAGAAGAATGTGAAAATAAAAAACATTTCTACAGTTCATAGTTTTTTCTTTCTGTCGATTCTTACAATATTATGATCAATATTTGAAAAAAGAGACTAAGTGCATTTTTTAAATTACAAATAACTTTAAATATTGATCATATATATATATATATATATAATAGAGAAATATTATAACATATAACTTCTCAAAGACATTATATAAATATACATTCAATATTGTTCCCATTTGTGGTATAATAAAAAAGTAATAAGTTATTTTAATTTTTATCAAAATCGAGACTTGGTAATTATTGGCCTTTATTCCGCCTATCCTCTCAATTGTAATTTGTAAATAGCAAAATCAGTTATTTATAAGGGCTCGAATCGAAAAAATTCGATCCGGATAACGGTTCAAGGCTAAATCCAATTTTTGGTTCCAGTTTTTTTTTACCGTAATAGTTATCGGGTTCGTTTGAATTTCGGTCCTTTTCGGTTTCGGTTTTCGGTAATTATATACCCATAACAATCACCGTTATCACTAAAAAAAAAACTGAAACGGACATCGAAAGTTAGGTATCCTCGGATCATAATCGTAACCAGCCGAAATTTTAATGTATCTATAATGTATCCACATAATGTAATTTCGATCCGAGTTCCTGGTTATTTATCAGTTATTTATTGCTCTTATTTTCACCTTTTCTTCGTTGATAAATTTCAACTGTGACGTTTCTTCACTTTCAGCAGAGTTTTGCGCTTTGATTTGAATTACATTCACATCTTCCGCAGGTACATGAGCGGTTTCTGTGATTATATCAGTAGTCTCTTCAGTATATGCATCTGGATTGTCGACTTCATTTTCGCCAAGTACATTTGTGTCAATTTTCGTTTCTATTAAACACTTGTTTTCAAACAATTCAAACTGCGCGTTTGATACCTCTTTTGCAATTTCCGCGGGTGCAAGAGCATCTTCTTGCATTACATTGGTGCTTTTCACTGCGAGAATTATAACTGTATTGTCAGCACAATCGGTCCTTATCACTTCCACAGGAGGTGCATCTTCTTCGGCTGTAAGATCTGAATTCTCTGCTTTAGACATCTTTTTTCTCTTTCTCTACGAGAATGATAAAAATTGTAATTTTAATCAATGCCAAATTACGAAGAGAATAACGGAACACAGCTAAGACCATTGACCTTTTGAAAAAAAAGAACGACTGACACTTTTCTTTTGTTCACATTACGTTCTCTATTCAAGCGAATATAGAATATTACGTCTTAGATTCTTTCTAATATAAATATTCTTTCTAATATTTTTGCGTAATGAACTTTCAGTATGTATATACATATGTCACGAATCATTAGAGCTATAATGAAATAAGTTAACAATATTTATAATAAATAATTCCTTTTACAATTCTTTAACAAAATTATTGTGTTAATTATGAACAGTTTGCGATATACTAAGGATAATTTACCAGCAAAGACACGTGTATATTTTTGATATTTTTCAATTGAAATAAAACAATTTCATCGAAACGCGGCTGTTAACCACTGGACATCCGACGACTAAGTAGAAATGTAAAGTATTTTTGGCTGTTCGACGTTCGTTCTATTTCGAGCTGCGTCTCAGTTGCACTTTAATAATAGTGTGTGGTATATGAAATTATATAACACAAACAGTTTGTTTATAGTAACTGAATTAGTTCAATATTTATTAGTTCATTGAAATTGGATTAGTTTACGTTTATTTTAACAAACATATATACAGGTGTGCCTTAAATTTTGGCCAAGCGCTTTTGTATAGATAGAGCGGATTAAACTGAGTCGAAAAGTCCTCTATCATTTTGCAATTTTCGCAATAGTTAACAAGATATTAATTACTAAAAATTGTCGAATATTAGTTTTCAATAATTTTTTATTCAAATACTATCAACTTTACAGAAAAACTGCAACACACAAAAATCATTTATTTTCTTTTCATATAACTCTAAGAATTTTTCAGAATTTTTTATCAATTTTTTAATACTGCATTTTCTTATTTTTTGCCAAGATGAGAAAATACGGTATTAAAAAATTCTGAAAAAATTCTTAAAATTTTATGAGAAGAAAATAAACAATTTTTGTCTTTCACTGTTTTTCAGTAAAGTTGATAGTATTTGAGTAAAAAATGATTGAAAACCAATATTCAGCGATTTTTAGTATCTTTAATCAATGTATAAAAGGTGTATGGTATATAAAGATAATGTATTCAACAAAAATTTAATTTTATTTATATTTTTATATTTTTAATGTCTTTTATAATATATAACTTTATATATAAAATATATAAAAATAAACTTTACAAAGATGCAAATTTTTTATTTTTGCACGAAACAATTGAATTTGGCAAAAGTAGTGTCGTGAAGCGAGATATTAAACGTCAGAGTTGATCTCTGTCAGTTTAGAACGCTTAGGCCCAGTTCCACAACTCATGGTTAACTCTTAACCGAGGTTCAACTTATTCATTGTCTCTTTCTAATTTTATAATTGAAAAGAGATGAGAAACGAATTGAACCTCGATTAAGAGTTAACTGTGAGTTGTGGATGTCTTAGGATGATTATTGTCGCTACTAAAGCCGTATCAGACTACCGATTCTGCATGCCGATCGACAGTCAACTCTGACTACCGACCTAATGGACCAATAGATTAATGGACCAATAATGAAGCTGACTGATTGTAATTGATTCGCTGTAGATTGGCCTGCAAAGTTGATTGTCTGATGGGCTTTAATAGCAACATAACGGATATTTTAAGTGTTCTAATCTGATTTTTTCCAATTGCTTAACACATTTTAACACAAACATATACATGAATGCACAAAGTGTAGAGTAATAAAGTTACACCGATTCTAACCCACTATGTGTTAGTGCGTATACGTATATACGGTAAACGAGTTGCGTGGTAGTTTCGAAATAAGATGTTCTGTAAAAAGAATAATGGATAAGTAAGCTGCAGGAAAATATATAAAAACTTTTTTTTATAGCAACTTTATAGATATTTTTTTATAGATACTTACTGGTTTTTGCACACTTTATCCTTTTGAATGTAGTAGTTCATCTTTTTTTACCGTATATTGTCAAGAGCTTTTGCTGTCCGATTTCCTCTGAGTGGCTGATGCGGTAACGTCGCTCGGATTCTTCTTTTAAACAGTGTTCCCCCTTCCATATCCCAAAAAAATAAGGGATTCCATTTAAAAAATTTTAGGTAACCCTGACCTGATCTTAAAGATATCTTCTCAAGGTCAACCAAGATCACCAACTTCTTTCCCCCTTGAAACCATAAAACTTTTGTCTGAAACATTTTTGCCTTAAACTTACAGATTTTGAGAAAATAGACTGGATAAATTAAAATGGTCCACTCTGTATATCCATACAAGATTTTGCAAATCGCGCTTGTTTGCTTGTTCGCTTGCTTACTTACACTTTGTACATTTGGATTTTGTCATCACATTGACAGATATTCTAACCGCTGCGTAAGCAGTAATTAGGACTCACATTCTGACAATTTTGTCGCGTTTTAAAAACCATTAAAGAAAAAGTGTTACAATCTTTTGTTGTTGAGTATACATGAATAATGGAACCGATTGGTTCGATAATATAAAATAGTAATTAATAGACTGGAAACTTGAACTATCACGTGCAAAATAATCAAAGTGAGCACTGTAGATGTAAAAGACTGTGATAAGAATATTTCAAAATAAATAGTAAATTCAGAGATCATGCTAATAAAAAAAATAATTCTTTACAATATGAAATGCGTGAAATTGTTTGAAATATGCATAAAATATGTATAGGCAGAATTAAACATATATTTTTAAAATATTTTTGCGACAAGTATTTTCATTTTAATTTTATCTTCTTACATATCTTCTAATAAGGTGTATTTGCGTAGAAATCGGCAGTCTATTAATTAACAATATATATTTGCAGAGATGTATGGACGTATATATACGAATAAAACTATAAAAATATGTGATTTCACTTATTAAACTTATTAAACTATAAAGTCATTGCTCGTATGTAACAGTTGATTATATTTATTCATAGTTTTACAATTACATACATTTTTCAATAAACATAGTCTAATAAAAAGATAAATTTTAAACCCATAGAACATATAAAAGCGTAAGGCATTAAGAACAAGCATATAAAACATACATATATAAAGCTAGAAAACATAAGGTTGTTGTGTTACGTTCTTTGCCGTGAAAAGTCAATTTAAGCTTACTGCTTACGTTTTTCTATGTTTCCAGTTTTTTATGTATGTTTTATATGCTTTCTCTTTTTTAATACATAAGATTGATATAACCTATAATAAATCTAAGATAAGATGAGCATAATTTATCTGAGTCTCATTAAAGAAAAACTTAATATAGGACAACAATCTTTGATACATTACTTCTAAAAATAAAGATATGCATATATATAAATTTGCTTTTAATTTATTTGTTATATAGTATATTATAATTACATTATAATTATTTACTGAAAAAAAATTTATTGAGGGTATTAATAAAAATAAGTTACTTGACATAATTTATTGTAAGAAAATGATTTTCCTGCATATTAAGACTAAAGTTTTTATTAGGTAGAAACATTTGGTACTTTTTAAGAGATTGTGTTTCATATTTATCGTAAATTTAAATACATACAACTATCCATTTCTCTTATTTGACTTATGTGATATAAAACATCACAAATTTTTCATGTACACATAGATAACCGCAATAATTTATCAGATAGAATATAAATCTATATTTATGCACATACGTGTCTATCATTTAATTGTCATATAAGATTTTAATTATTATTTCTAAACTAAAAACTAAAATATTAGATATTTTAAACAATTACATTACATATAAATATTCCTTCAAAACATTATTTATGCAATTTTAAATGTGTATAAAACACATTATTAATTTAATTTAATGGTTTTAAATAAGCTGCATCAAACGTATCAAGTTCATTTATTAAAAAGTTGGCTTCATTTCGAAGATGCTTTGCCTTGGCTGCTGCTTTTTCCAATACTGCTAAAGTATTTCCTATAGTTTTCAGTTCGATATCCATCTCAGATGTTGTTTCGTCTATCAAATGACAGAGCCTTGCAAATGTGCTGGAGAGCTCTCTATATATAATTATACAAATATTATTACAGAAAAGAGAGAAATAAAAAATAAGTATATTATTTTATAATATGAAAAGATTTTGAATTAGAGTTTAAGAAGTAATTTCGAGAAAAAGATGTTATATTATAAATGTTATATTATAAATCCTTTAAATAAATGCATTCAAAATAACATAAATCACAAGAAATCGAAATTTTATTATATTATAATAGTTCATTTCACAATTTCAAAGTACCAAACAGCTTTTTAAAAAACAAAAAAATAATCAAAATAAAATTATTTCTTACACAAATTTATATACTGTTATATCTGAATACGGATAAATCTTGACATTAGGGGACTCAATTCTAATTATCCTCATTATGTAAGTAAAGGAAAGTGTGGAGTAGTTCCATAGATATAGTATCTCTAGACTGAGCATTGTCAGAAATTTGAGAAATAGTGATAGATCCTACGTAGAAAAGGATACACTGAATGTTAGAGTTCCTCTAGGCAGAGTGGAGTAGAGAGCCTCACAAGGAGAGAGTGGCAAACTGCATCACGTGACCGGGTCTTCTGTGATTGGACGCGGTCATCAAAGCTCCATAGGGCATTTCAGATGCAGAAACAGTTTAAAATAGATTAGAGAAGAGTTGAAAAAGTCGCAGTTCGTCATTTTGAACTGGTCACAAAGAACGCAGTTCGTCACAAAGAACTAGTCAGATCTTTGTAAGTGATACATATTATTAATCTTAGAAGTATATACCTTCCTCTATTGTACATATATACAGGGTATTTCAGAAATAGTTGGCCAAACTCTAAGAGCATATTTCACTCATTGTAAGAATAAAAAAAAGTCATATAAACATGAGTTCGGAAATGCTTCCTTTCAGATTAAATTTCAGAAGTAAATATCTCTCGAACGAAGCGTTTGCAAGCATACATCTAAAGGAAAATTTTTGTTTGTTTTGAGGTCTTGAATTCATATTTTAAGTTTGGCGGTTTAACCCGGGAACATCCTCTATATTTATAAATATCATTACCGAGTATTCGAAGTATTTAGTCATAATATTCATATATTATACTTTTATGGTAATTGTTGAGTTTAGCCTCCTCACTTCCGATGTTGATAAAATTATAAGAATCTTAGTTTAAGCAAATACCTAGTCAAAACAAATTCTCTGTTGTAAAAACAAAAATTATATAGAAAATAATTTATATATGTTTCCTAATAGCAAAATGTTAGTAATTTGGGGCTAAATTGGCAGCAAAATCACTCAGATTTTAACTACAAAACTATAACCATCTATGTCCGCATTTGACTATGAATTTGTTGATAAAGCCTGCTAACAGGCTATGCAAAGTTTGCTTGAATCAGGTTCTGCTCTCAATCTGCCGTCAGATTATGCATGACTTTA